GTGAAGAATGAATATTTTCATGCTTGTTTTCTATGACATATACTTGAATTTTTAAGAGCATCGAAAATCAATGAGACAAATTTATGCTACTCAAGTAGCCATTTTTGCATGCGGCCGGAAAGAAGTTCGTTCGAAAGCCGGCGTCCCGAGGTAACTGAAATATTATAGAGTTATGCAGCATGATGATTGATTTTACAAGTCAAATTTTGCAATTTTTTCGAGACGAAAACACATTTCAGAACTTAAGCTAACATTTCATGAGTTAGCAAACATACTAAAATGTTTTTGACTTTCCATAATACCCCCTTGAGAGGACCTCGATAAAGAGCATTCTGGGAACGTTTACGGAAGTCTCTGTTATCTTCACTCAGAATATGGTATGACAGTTTGACCGTCGATTTCGACGATGTCCACCGTGTGCCCCACAGCTGCAGCAGCGGTGGGAGCAGGGACGGTGACTTACGCAGGGGTTTATAGTGCCAGTAGACTTGCGTAGCCTCTACCTACACTCTCTCCTCCTCCCCCTCCTGGGCCCGGTGTCAAGACAGAGTCAAGAAGACCGGAGACGAGGGAGGCCGCAGGTGGATGGCTCGGACGGATCCTCACCTTGGCGTTCCACCACACCCCCTGGTCCACACAACAATAACCAGGATTTGAACTAACACAACATAGATTTGGAGGCTGGCACGGCCGAAGCCGCACCTGGGCGTGCCGCCAACGCCTGGCTCGGATCCCACACTGTGGTGGGAATGCCATGAAGGCCACATTAAAAAGGAGTCATTGCAGCCTGACTCTCAGACCGCCTCCAGTGAAGGAGGAGGTCCAAGGTACCCCGTCAGTTGGCAACCTTCCAAGCCACGGCTTTGAGCGCACCGTGATAGCTTCAAGCGCGTCAGATTGTTTATAGTGAGGAAAGTGCGCTGAGTCGTCGACCTCACTCTTCCTTCCCATTCCCACACCCCAGCCGCTGTCCGAGCCGGTCAACAGACTGGAGTGGGGAAATGGGCTCGGTGGCTGTCATGATCGGCTGACCATGACTGCGCGCTCCACGAGCACGACCTGGCCCCCCATACACACAAACACCAGGATTTCACACAACGGGGGTCGAACGGCGTGTCTCTCACATGCGTGAGAGGGCCGTGGAAGGTGCTGCTTCAGCCCGTCCCCAGCCCACCAGTCCGCCACTCCACACAACACACACAACGCAAAGAACTGCGTGAACCGAGAGCGGGCGTCAATCAGCAACCTTCCTATCCACGACACTTGACGTGTCGGGATAGTCTCGGACTCAAGTCACCCGTGCAGCCGAGGCCGCATGGGGACCGAGTCGAGATGCACACTTCCCACTTGCGTGGGAGGCGGCAGTTGAGTGCATGAGGTGTGTGAGGGTTGATGTCTGGTGGGGTGATGGTGTTAGGAGGTAGGGAGTGAGGGAATGTGTGGTGTGACCGGCGGTTGTCTACCGCAGGTCGTTGTGGATGCGCATGTGGCCGAATAGACCCATGCGATGCGTGAAGGTGCGAGGGCAGTGTGGGCAGTGGAGGCGAGTGCCATGGGTGTAGGTTGGTGCTCCAGGCACTGGTTCGCCAGTCTCTGTGCGATGGATTCGCAAGTGACCGACCAGGCCGATGCGTGAGGTGAAGGTGCGTGGACAATGTGGGCATGAGAGGTCGGCGGTGTCGGTGTCAGCTGTAGAGGAAGCAGTGGTGTTGGTGGTGGCGGTGGTGGTGGTCGGCGCGTGTGACGGTGGGGCGAGGATGGGTCTGAGCGTGTTGGATGTCGTGGCTGTATCGGAATTGCGGTCAATGCCGCTTTTTGGCAGTGGAAGAACGACTCGAATTTGCCAATGGCTTACGGCATTGCCGCAAGCCTGCGGTCTCCTACGGTGCACCAGATGGGCGCGTGTCAACGGTGCCAATTCGGAGATCCATCCCACCGGCTGATCAACGGCGTACCAGGCGGAGCCTCGTCTAGACGATGCCGATGCGACGTTCCACCACCAACCGGCTGACCAGCGGTGTGTCAGACAGAGCCTCGTCACGACGGCGCCGACGCGGTGTTCCATCCGACCAACCGTCCACGGAGTCCGCAGTCACCTGTGCACGCGGCACAACGCGCACAGGGAGTAACCGCCCTCACCTGGTTTAGCCCGCCGGTCGAGACGGTTGCCCGGGGTGTGGCCGCTGAGCAGAGCCCAGCTACGTGGAGCCACAGGTGAGAGTTGAGTGCCAGCAAGTGGACGCTAGGCGTAGTCTCACCTGCAAGCAAGTGAGCGACCACTACGACCTTCACGTGAACCCACCGCTGACACCCCTACACCCCATACCTTTTGAAAGACAAAATATGTCTTCTCAGAACCGTATTGATAATGGAATCCCAAGTTCATTGTGCTCCTTGGGCTATTTAACAAGCCCGAGACCCCTTATGAAAGCTCGGCTGGCTTTCAGTGATGTTCAGTACTCCTTTTTATCTTGTTCTCCTTCAAGTCCTGCATCACACACCCAGAGACAGAAGGGTCACGAAGTTTCTATTTAGGCCAATAGGAACGGTAAACCGCTATTTATCTTCTACCTTCAAGAACTGGATCTCCTCGTCTCCCTCAAAAAACGAACATTACATCTTTAAATTTTTGATATTAAGTGCCATGTCCTTACCGAATAACATGCGTTCGGTTTAGACTTTGGCCTTCCTCCACTGTCTAGACAAATTGCTGACCGAGTTATCTGCAATATCCATTACATATGTTTCCGAAACTACCTTTCCGCATATAATTGTAATAACCGCCACTGATAAGGAAAGCTGTATTTATTTGAAACAAGCATTAGCATATCTACCCTTAGATCCCTCGTGTTCATTTGCAGTAAAGTGTAACTGCTGGCTCCAAGCTGGAGTAAAAAATAAACACCAATTCCTCATTGGTGGCGTCTACCAGCTCCTAAGGCAAATGGCAATATTGATGTCTGTTTCTTGGGCAAATTTTAATGCCTCAGATGATTTGAACTTTAGGCATCGATTAGTGGCAAGAGACCTTTCTCCCCCCTAAGTCCACTGGATTTCACGTTCTGTTACTAACCGGTTTGAGGTCTTAATCGAGGTCATGGATGACGGCATATGGAATCAAGTTTTCGATTCTCCTACTCGAGAGCGTCAAGTGTGCTTGATCTAGTCTTTTGCTAAAACTAGAAAAATTCCGGTCTCTGTCACGCCTTGGCGTGACTGGAGGTCCTTACCATGACATAGTTGTTTGCGCGCCAACTTTCGAAGTTGATAGCAGTTGTTTCTAAAAAGTGTCACTCAGTCGTCATTTTTTAACCAGTTTGTGTCAAGACTAACTGACAGACCACAAATCTCACGAATGGGACCATATTCTCAGTTTAATTGTAAATTACTGCGTGGCAAAACTCCGAAATTTCGAGCCGAAGGATGTTACTGAGGGCGTTTTTCTACTTATCATTTCGTCGTAAAGAGTGGAGGCTCTCTTAATGTTTCCAAATTTAAAAGTACAGTGAGCGGCCGATCTCATAAGATGTTGGCTGAAATTCAGAAATGCGTCCTCGATTAGGGTGGATTATTTAGGCGCGGTTGTAATACTGATTGTCCTGCGGTATTATTGAAGAAGGAGACACGATCGCCGGGACAAGTGCTTTATTAGCCTGACGTTCCGGATTCCTATTCGAATCCAGCATCAGAGACAAAAAAGCAGAAACGGGTGGTTGTTGCGCAAGGGGCTGCGGTATTTATAAAATGCAGTAGCTATGCTACCGCATTACTATGAACATTCACGGTTCCCCCCTTCATTCTGGATCGTCGCACTTGGTGTGATCATTGCTTGATGGCCGACATTCGAGTCGATAATTGTTGCAATTTCATCACGTGCGTTGGATGTTGGCGTGATGATTGCTCGACCATCTGACGCACCGACCCCGGTGTTGGGAAAAGTGTTCACCTCTGCGCTCCCCGCATGACTTGTTACTCCGCCTAGGCGAAGTTTCAGCACGGAGACGTTGGGGAGAGAGGTGAAAAGTGATATCACATCGAAAGATACAGTCACTTCGTCATCTGTAAGTCGAATATCTTGCAGTTTTCTAAAAAATCTTTCAGCTGAGCGGATGGTTATTTTGGAGTTTAGAACTTTTAGACGCTTGAACAGCCATTTGGCCAGGCCAAACGGTGGGGTGCGTCTTAGAGAAATGGTTGGTCGTAGGGGAGTTCCTGGTTTGTAGACCTTGGGTAGACGATAGAACAAACAATTGGTCCCGGCGTTTGTCTTCCCTTCTTCTTGTATATATGTAGATATTCACGCAGGAATGAGCGCACACCGATCCATTGGCTTCCTGAAGCAAACAAGCTTCGTATGGGTGATAGGGATCACGAACAGGAAACTACTTACGGGACCGAAGTTGACTAAGCTATGATAGCAGAAGGGGAAAAGAGAGAATTTGGGGCAGATTGATGAAGTTAAGGATCTGCGACTATCTCTGATGATGGGTGCGAGTAAGAATCCGATACGTCAGGCCAGTAAATTTCTTAATACCGTGGTCACATCTTCGTCGCCTGAAGTTCTGAAGTTCTTATGACCCATCTAGTAGACCCCAGTGGTGGACCAGCTGCGCCAGATGTGTGCGTGTGTGTGCTCATGCTTGTGTTTCCAGTTCCAGCTGGTAGTCAGGGCTATGGCCGGCTGAATGAAGGCGAGCAGGCCCGAGATGGTTCTCTATCAATCTATCTCCAGACTCTGTCATCTCCCCTCTGCTATATATATATATATGTAGCTCAGAGGGGGTATGTATATATATATATATATATGCGAGAAGAAAAGGCGATCTCGGGAACCGTCGTTTTATTGTCCTGACGTTTAAAAAGCAAACAAGTTTCCATTGTCGGAGGTGGGTGTGGTATCGCACCTCACAGTATTTATAGGTGGGTGGCAGTCATGTCAAGACGGTTTTTCACATATGAAGTCAGGGCGGCAGGGAGGAAGACGCGGGGAGGGAGTCCTAGAGCGTCTTTTCGCCGGATGAGGGGGTGGTGTATCAGCTTTAGTGGTCGCAAGCCACATACACACAGGGACTGTGGCGGACGGGGAGGGAGGGTGACGGAATGTACTCAGTCTACATCGGAGGCCGGCTTTGAGACGTTGACGGCCGCCGTTCGTACCTTCATTCACCTTAGCTGTCGTTCAAGTCTGGCTATCTTGGTAACGCCGCAACGACTCCGTTTTCTTGTCGTCCTAGTGGATGGAACGGCTGTGGTGACGACTGCGCCTACGTCGGACCCAGGTTGAGGGGCAACTGTGTGTGTATCCGTCATGGACTCGCTCATGTTTAGATTCGTGTTTAGCCTGGGTTCGCGTTTGCTCATTTGTTCACTGGGCTGCACCCGAAGGGCTTGGTAGGCAGTGGTAGGAGCCACACAACGGTTGATGGAGGTTGTCTTCGTGTGCCAAGCCTCGATTTTTTCCCTGACTATGCAGTCGGTCTCTCGGCCCAGAATTTCGACATGCTGAAAGGCGAACGTGTGACCAGAATCGGCGCAGTGTTCTGCCACCAGAGACAAAGGGTCCATTCGCCTTACTGCCCTCATGTGCTCTCCAACAGGGGTCTGCAGTCGTTTGCCGGTCTCCCCAATGTAGTTGACTTCGAAGGAGTTACTTTGAATCCGGTAGATGTCGTTGTGGTTTCGCCTAGTGGCAGAGGGGCCTTAGGTCTCATGACCAGATGTCGAATTGTTGACTCCGGTCGGTGGGCGATTTCGATCCCCAGCGGGCTTAAGAGACCTATACGTATATAGGGTTTCTGTATGTATAGGCTGCCGGAATTGTGGAGAGGGACGAGGTAAATATTAATTGTCCTGTGGAGGATCAGTATGTACCGTCACCTTCAGGGCCAGTTTTTTGAGGTCCAGAAGGGTGAGGTGTGTGGACACCCCACATGCGGAACACGCCTACGTTGAAGGAGAATAATTAACACGAGCGGAGGTTTATCTCGTAGTACGAAATGCATCCAGTGAGTCTGGAGTTCCTCCGGCAATATCGTTTGGCCAGGTTAAATTGCTAAAGGAGGCTACTGGAAAACAACGTCCGCATCATCTGTTCTATTAGATGATGAACAGTTTAACCTCCCAGTGTCTGCAGATAGCCCATTTGTACATGTGCAGTGTTAGTCGTCAACAGTAGTCTTACCATGGTAGAGGCGCTCATCGATCTTTCATACGGAATTCCCTCGTTACGTTGAGCCTTACGGGCTCTCCCTCGAGCCCAACCAGCTGCCGCACAGTGGCGCATGATATAGGCAGAATGGCATTACCGACAAAGACAAGGGAGACTGGAATGGCCATTTCTGGCTTATTAGCCGTCGTCAGTCAGTCATAACCTATCCCGAGGTGGCGAACACCCGAGGCTCGAACTTCCGACCTGTTAGTTAAAAGTGCGGCAGCTGGTTGGGCTCGAGGGAGAGCCTGTAAGGCACAAAGGGACGAGTGAGCTCCGTATGAACGATCGGTGAGCGTCCCCTACCATTGTATATTCCCAATTGAAAGCCGACAGGGCAACGGGCTCGTGGACCAGTCGTTAGAGACGTGGATTTCTAACTAACAGGTAGCGAGTTCGAGCCTCGGGTGTTCCACACCTCGGAGTCGGATGTGACTGGCTGACGACGGCTAATAAGCCGGAAACGGCCATTCTAGTCTCCCTTGTCTTTGTCGGCAATGCCATTCTGTCAGTAGTCTTACCGTTTGCTGCCGAAACTTACTAAACTGGACGTTCTTCTCAAGGTGTCAACATACAGTCATATATTACCGGCCTTGTCCACGAAAATGTTAAACAAGGTGAAATTAAAACTTGTCTACGTAAGGTTCACGCGAGATCAAGACAAGAATAATGCGCTTGTTTATTCAGTCCCCTGAACGCTGGAGAGCAGAAGAAGGTGAAATCCGTTCAAAGGCTTTTTACGGAAGGTACGGTAACATCGACATGGCATCTGTGGAATTACGGGTCTTGATTCTTTATGGTTTGGCTGGTTACAAAACGCATTATTTGTGCTGATTGAGCTATCAACTTGTACAATT